CTTTTGCCACACTCATTTCAACACATTCTGCGCCCAAAATTCATGACAATATTACATTTGTTACATGAGATTATATTTTTGTTCTTATAACTAATAACGCATCCAATTTTATGCGAATGGAGAGTAAGAAATTTCTGTAAAATGACTGATGACCTGAGACAGAAGTGTAGAGTTTTGTGGATACAATGAAAAATGAATAATAATTCGTTCGGATGAGTATTTATATGGTAATAATTTTCAGCTGTGGCCTTGCTTTACCACAAGAAACAGTCATTGCAAAAACAATCAAGAACTGTGCAGTCAGAAGCGGACTGTTGACCACGCAAGTGGCTCAAAGCTTGTGCAATTGTGCCGTTCGAGCTGGTGCTAGGTAAGTTGTTTCTGTGAGAGTATTTATTCAATTTGTTCGTCAGCTTTATGCGTCCCTCCGTCTAATTCAATTCGAAAAACTGCTTCAAAAATGAGAATTCAATTGTGAGCAGAAACGAATTTGAGCGGACCTAAAGCAAATGCCACACGATTTCTTTTTTGATGGCATTGACTACTCTGCACACAAATCTTTGCAGTCAAACTCAAGCTCATTATGTGACATTCATTCGGTGAATCAAATTCATAAGATCATAATCTTATCATAATCTGAGTACTCGGCGACTGCCACTGTCGTGTATTCCAGTGTTAGCATGCAAATGTGAAAGAAATCAAATAATGTTTACAGAAGTTTGGCTCCTGTTTGCCCGACCATTATTATCCAGTAAAAGGCTTACGCAGCTAAAGGTGCTCAGCGATACAACATCAATAAAGTCGTACGTTAGGCATCATTGATGCAAATTATTAGATTTTGTCATACACTGAATGCAGTCACGATATCTTCATGTTGATCGCGATTGATTCTTTCACTGATTTATTTACTGGTTCACTTATACAAATAAATTTTTTGTAGCCTCCAGCTTGTTACCCTACACTTTCACGAATATTCCTGCACCATAATCGAACACATTATTTTATCACATCATGGGAGTGTCTACAGGAACTATTTTTTGTTTCCAAACCACATCGGAATCTTCCCTCTTAAAACTGTTGCAGTCTGCTTTTCGAATACAAGTTCTGACTGAATTCATTTGGGAGGCACAGTGGCGAAAGAATTCATTCATTTTTTACGATATAGTTTTTTGCAGACATTTCTAATTTTTGCAGACATTTCGCTGCTGTTGATTGATGTTTCATTCAAACAACAGTTTCTTCGTCGAAGTAAAAAAACGTTGTAAGTGAAAGTGGAACTGGTTCTAAGAATTCGATTCGAAAAAACAATATGAATTGATGGTAGGGAGAATCATGGTACATTGGTTATTGAATTGTAGGTGCATTGCATATTCAAAGATTCTTTTGAGAGCACTTAATGGGAGAGTGTAATCTAATTCCTTCAGGATGCATTGTTAGAATGCGTTGATTTGCTAGGATGCTTAATCGCTGTATTCGCATTTACTAATAAGTAAACTGCACAATAAAATGCAACTATGCACACCTCAAAACAATTTCATTTCCAAGTGAACGCCTGTTCTAAAAGAAAAATTCTACAACATACATATATCGCCTTCTGACTGATGAATGGATTGCTTAACTGAAATCTTCGTGATCTTTAAGTATGACACAAATCCCAATTCAACAAATGCGATGATGAATTTTTCGACGTATAAACTTAATTCGTATTGCAACTCAATATCGCATGAACTGGAACATAATAGAATTATGATTTATTAAATAATGACGAATTATCGATGAAATGATGAGTTGTTCACTTAAATTATCGAATGTGAATTAATTATCATTTGATATCGACAGTAGTAACCGGCAAGCTCTTTTGATCTCGAACTGCACAGAAAGTCCTTCGTTACTCCGCGAATATTTGGACAGATGAAAAGAAAACTCTCGTGAACGAGAAGAGCATTTTAAAGCATTCACATCACTTCCAAACAGCCCACGAGCAAAAATTGCTGATGCAGATGTTCTACAGTAATGCATTATGCATATCACAAGTTGGCATCGTCACTCGAAGACTGTCTTTGGTCACCTTAAATGTGATTTTTAGTGTGCAGCGATGCATCCTCATTGGAACTTTCTCACACATCAGAATATCTGAACATTTCATTCGACTGGATAATAAGAAAAATTTTACAAATGAGATAGGTTATTGTTTAGATTCTAAGCGATTTTTCATGAAAGATAGTTTACCTTAGTGACGAGTTCCCAGGCCTCATTACCGCAATGCTCATTGATTATTGGATGACTGCATCTCAGATAACCATCCATCACTGAACATAATGCCTATANAATGAAGCAGTGATTAAAATAAACAATGTCAAGTTCACCTTGAAATATTGTTCATTATTATCGTGTCCTTTAAGATGTTGCGCATCTGAAATCTCTTCACTTGCGGCGATCTTACATTTGATATATTCCTTCAGTGATTCCACCTAAACGCTCAATGAAATCACTGACGATCAATTCTTCGGTGAATGCAAATTAAATCAATCTTTTGAAGAATACTACCGAAATTAAATCTTGCAGTGCACTTCTCCATTGAATTTTTCTATCCGTCATTGTTTTATGTTTGCAATTATAACAAAACATTTATTGGCAATGACCGAAAGTTGTTATATTTCGACAAGAAATGAGTTGGAGCAATGATGAATGATCAATTGATAACAAATCAGATGAGAATTGAATGATCGCAAACTAACCTCAGCAAAGCACATGGCATGCTTTTTGAAAAGATCGAAACCCGATCCGCACATAAACCCATAACTCGCATCAACTGCATCCATCGATAAACTCGCGCAGTTTACATCATGTGTGCAACCCTTTAAAGCATATATTTTGTAGCTTTAAGGAATAATAATAACTATAACAATAATTGTAATTAATTAAAATAATAATAGCAGTAATAATGATAACTAATAATAATTAGCAATACTTCATAATAAA